TGGGTTGGGTTGATCCCAAGACTGCAAGTGTATGACTTCTGTTCTAGAAATTCCAGCAGTAAAACAATTAATTTCAGGTTTGAAAGTGTATTACATTCGAACTTTCTAGATCCGCCAACCAACTGAACTGGTAGGAACCCTTTCTGCAAGCATAGAAATGGTGTGTGTGGGGGTGGGGGGGGCAGTGTAGAACTATTCTTTCCCTGCTCTAAATTATAAACACAGTTGAGGTCAAAGGAAAGAGGGTAAATGGCCAGGATTAGGAATGAACAGGGAATGTTAGCTCATAGAAGTAAATGTCAGGTGATAGAGCATCCAGGCAGGTACTGAAATTGGATTGTGACTTAAGAGGTCAGGAGCTGTAATCTTAATGCCTACGGAGGTTCAGGAGCTGCGCTTTAATCCCATGTGAAACACGAAGCAAAGACTGAAACCTCACATGAAATAGATGCCCTCAAAGGAGATGCTCAGAGGACAGGAAAAAGATGCTGCTATCCATCCCGGGCTGTAAGGGCAAGCTCTCCTTTACCATACACTCAATCCCAAAGCTTTTTCCACATGCAGATGTAAAATCATACTTTCTCTATGTGGAAACTCCAGACTGAGAAGCTAACACAAAATTGATCTGGAATCATAGAATCCCACAACCCTTATTAGCATACAAAATACAATTGCATCCATGAGCCAAAGCACACAGCACTTGCCTAAAAATGAACTTAGGACCCAAAAGTTAGTCCATGGAGGAGAACTGGCAGGCACAATAAATTGGAAAAAATGGTATCTCAGTGGAATGACAATGACTATGACTGAAATGAGTCTTGAGCCAAAGGAAGAAGTTGAAATAATAATGGGGGAAAAGAGACACTGTGGAAAAAGCACTAGCTGCATTTCAACAACTAATAACTATATTCATTGAAACTGAAATCAGAAAAATAATATATTGAACACAGTTAATGAGGGAAAAAAAGGGAAGTAGAAAATCCTTGCATATCATTCATCTAAATCTCAACACTGAGAGAAAAGACATAAAAATGTGGGGGGGGGGGCGAGGGGAGGCAAAGCAACATGGAGGCTCTAGAATGAATATCCAAAATGTATAATCAATAGCAATTCTAGAATGTGAGAGGACTCCCATACAAAGATTAGAAAGAGGTCAAATAAATCTGTTGGATGAATTAGACTTTTCCAGAATTGAAGGAAGATATAGAACTTCTAGAAGAAAGAATGGTACTGATTGGCCTCCCAAAATGAGAAGTAAAATAAATGCATATACAGATAATCATAAAAAGATATCTCTTGTTCGGGGCTGGGAAGTTGGCTCAGTGGTAGAGTGCTTGCCTTGCAAGCATGAGGTCCTGGGTTCGATTCCTCAGCACCACATAAGCAAAAAGAAAAAAGCCGGAAGTGGCGCTGTGGCTCAAGTGGTAGAGCGCTAGCCTTGAGCTGAAGAGCTGAGGGACAGTGCCCAGACCCAGAGTTCAGGCCACAAAACTGGACACACACACACACACAAAAGATATCTCTTGTTGACAAAGATAAAGGTGACAAGGCATAATGGGTGGGGGAGGGCATGCTTTCTTTGAAGAGCTGAGAGAAAGGTATCTGTCTATCTAAACTGACAGATATTGCATATTCCTCCATGCATTGCTTTGGAAAAGGGAGGATAAGACAGGTACAGGTAGACAGAATTTATTGCCATCATAGAAGAGTCTGAGAAGATATACTTCCAGACAGGAGAAATGGAAAGCAGGAAGTAACAGTGAGCAAGAAAATGGATGGATTTGAAGGGAATCAACATTCAACAAAACCATTGACAATGAAGACTAGAGTAGAAATTTTAAAGGAAGTCAATACAAAATAAAAATTTCAAGTTTTGAGCATTGTAAAAAATGTAAGTGTTATTGTAACGGTGATATAGAGGGGGTATAGTTATGTAAGTCAGGTAGAGAGTACATGTCTTTTTGGACAATGTCATCTCTTCTCTCACACTCTCCCAGTTTTTACCTCCCATCTCATCCACAAATTATATAGTTCATTTTCTTTTTTAAAAATGATTTTATTTATTTTTTGTGTGTTTATGTGATACCAAGGAACCTAGGGCCTCATCTACGATAGATAAGCACTCGGCCACTAAGCCACATTCCCAGCCCAGTATAGTTCATTTTCAACATAGTGCCCAGGGAGTACCATTACTGCATTTGTTCATCCTTTGTTCCTCCATTTCTGTGCCTCCCCTTCTACTCTGTGAGACATAAATGAACATGCAGAACAAAAAGAGAAAGAAAACAAAAACAGCAAAAAGAAAAAAACCTCCTGTTTTAATTTTCTGGAATTAATTTTGATAAATATTATTTTGTATGATCAGATGCACATAGGTATTATGCCTTTCTGTTTCTCTCCTAAGAGTATCCTCCTTTGGTCTCACTCTCTCTGTGTGTGTGTGTGTGTGTGTGTGTGTGTGTGTGTATGTGAGAGAGAGAGAGAGAGAGAGAGAGAGAGAGAAATTGTGTATTTCTCAGAATAAGACTAGAAGACTAGAGATTCTGTTTTCTTCAGCTCTATATTCCATTTCACCAATTCTTTATACTTTGTTGGATCAAGTATAACATTAAAAAATTAAAGGCAGCTGGGCACCGGTGGATCATGTCCGTAATCCTAGCTACTCAGGAGGCTGAGATCTGAGGATCACAGTTCAAAGCCAGCCCAGGCAGAAAAGTCCATGAGACTCTTATTCCAATAAACCACTAGAAAACTGGAAGTGGCACTGTGGCTCAAATGATAGAGCACTCACCTTGAGCTGAAGAGTGCAGGGACAGCGCCCAAGCCCAGCGTTCAAGCCCCACAACCGAAAAAAAATATAAAATTAAATTAAATAAATAAATTAATTAAAGGCAATGCTACAGAATAGAAAGGGAGAACTGGGTCTGTGGTTTGTGCCTCTAATCTCAGAAGATATCAGGAAGATCACATTTCAAGGCCAGTCTGGCAAAAAGGAAAGAGGAGGATAGCCTAGAGTCCCAATATTCAATGCAAGGATACCGGCCCAATGACCTAACTTCCTCTACTTGGCTCTACCCATTAGAGAAGTCTAACTATTAGAAAATAGTGCCACAGACTAGTGATCAAGGCTTACACAGGTGTACCCTTGGGGAATACTTAAGATCCATAACATAACAGGATGCTACTATGAAAGTAAAAAGAAAACTTATCATCTAGAGAATGTATTTGGGACTTATGTATCTGATTAAGGTTTGATTTTCATAGCATATAAAAAAAATTGTAACACAGAAAGAAGAGGATAAGGAGTAGACAAAGGATTTAAAGAAATATTTTTCCAAAGAAGACACACAGATGACCAAAGAGAACATGATGTGATGTTTACAATCATTAGTTACAAGGGAAATGCAAATAAAAATCACAACTACACATCCATTAGGAAGATGATAATAAAAAAATTTGACAATAACAACTGTTGGCAAGGAACCTTGTAGTGCATTTCTGGTGCGGCTGTGAAATAGGGAAACTGCTGTGGAAAACAATCTGATAATTACCCAAAAGACTAAAACAAACTTACCATTTGACCTAGCAATATACCCAACCAAACTGAAAATTTATGCTCACCAAAAAATATGTACATGAATGCTTGTAGTAGTTTTATTCATAGGAGCCAAATAAAGGAGGAAACAAGCAGTTGAGGTCTGTCCATATAATGGAATATTATTCAGCTGTCAAGTGAAATGAAGAACTGATTCATGTTACAATACGAATGAACGTGAAAAAGAAAAGAACAAGATGCCAAATGAAAGGATCCAGACACAGAATGTGTGGTGTAATTCCATTCATATGAATGTCCAGAATAGAAACACAGATCCATCAGAACAAAGTAGGTTACTGGTTTCCAGGCCCTGAAGGGAGAACCGGGGAGTGGTTGTTCATGGCTGTAGGTGCTCTTTTTTGAATGATGAACACACTGACAATAAGGAAGTAGCTTTACTGTCCCAGACCTGCACCAACTAGATAGTTGCACATCTCTGCGAATAGTCTAGAAACCACTGAATTGAATCCTATGTAAGGATAAATATTATGATTAGGAATCACACCTCAGTTTTTAACAAAAGGAAAAGAATATATAAAGAAATCATAAGAATAATAAGAGAAGTAAGTAGCTAGGTAAATAAAGCTAATGAAGTAAACCCATGAAAATAATTTTAAAAGCTATTTTTCAGAAGCCTACCACTTGGAGCCCAAACATTAAACCTCTATGTGATTTCACTACACCTGGACTCCGGATTTCTCTCTTTTAACTCTGATATCTTTCCTAGCTGGTGATACATAGCTGGTATAAAATATCAATGAAAATGTTTTCTTAAAGGTTGACGACTGTGACTCTATGGTAGCTGTATTGCCCAGGTTGTCCTTGAACTCAAGATTCTTCTGCCTCAGCCGCTGAAGCGCTAGGAGTACAATTATGAAGTTATGCACCACACACACAACCAGCTCCATTCTACTCTTAAAGGGCCAGATATTCCAAGAGGCTGTGAAGTGCTGGGATTTTATGAGGCCCTGCTTTCCACAAGGTTCATCTTTCTAAGAATTTCTTTCTTTCTTCCAATATCCTGACTAAATTATTTCGGAAAATTGGCAGTCTCAGCTTGCTCTTCTAAATGCTTTTGGCTCTGAGAAGAAAGTTCACCCCAAGCTCTATCCACCACCCCCACCCCATGGCTTAAAATTATCTGGGCCCACTTGATTCTGTGACCCCAAGGGGACTGTTTCAAAATCTCACAGAAACCAGATCCATCAGAAGCAGGTACACTTGTTACACTTTCTCACCATCCAGAAACTACCATCCAGTAGTGACTCAAAGCCCTAGACAGGTAAAATGCCCCCTTTAGGATTCAAGTTTTAGCGCCCCCTTCTGTACATTCATAGCAAATGCAGTTGTAAACAATGTGGTCAGTGCACTCAGAGCAGAGTAACTGTGCCTGAATGTCTTGCAGATGGCAAGGAGGAAACCATACTGCTGCATAGCTCTGACACCTCCAAAGCGACAATCAAGACCTTCTCTGCCCGGGTCCGCAGAGCCACAACCTCGAGGACAGAGAGGATATGGCCTGGAGGGGTCATTCCATATGTTATCGGAGGGAACTTCACAGGTCAGTATCCTAAGAAAGGCAATTTGGACTCCTGAGTATAAGTAGGAGAGACTTGGTGAGGCTGAGCAGATGCTGGGACATCCCTCACACCCATGGGACCTGGTCCATCACATTCAGGGAAAGTACTGTCCTTGTTGGGGATATGTCCTTTAAAAAAAAGAGAGGGGGGCGCTGGGAAGGTGGCTCAGTAGTAGAGTGTTTGCCTTGCATGCATGAGGCCCTGGGTTCGATTCCTTAGTACCACATAAGCAGAAAAAGTCCGAAGTAGTGCTGTGGCTCAAGTGGTAGAGTGGTAGCCTTGACCTGAAGAGCTGAGGGACAGCGCCCAGGCTCAGAGTTCAGGCCCCACAATCGACAAAAGAAAGAAAGAGTGAGAGAAAGAGAGAGAGAAAGAAAAATGGCAGGGTGCTGGTGGCTCAGGCCTATAATCCTAGCTACTCAGGAGGCTGAGATCTAAGGATTGCAGTTCAAAGCTAGCTCGGACAGGAAAGTCTGTGGAACTCTTATCTCCAATTAACCACCAGAAAACCGGAAGTGGTGCTGTGGCTCAAGTGGTAGAGCAATTGCCTTGAGCTGAAGAGCTCAGGGATAGTGTGCAGGCCCAGAGTTCAAGCCCCATGACCACCACCACCAACACTAACAACAAAAAACCTTGTTCGTAAAGCTTCATTAGTGAGGAATATTATTCTTCTAGTCTTTTAAAAAATATATATGTTTTTTAGCTGGGTGCCAGTGGCTTATGCCTATAATCCTAGCTACTCAGGAGACTGAGATCTGAGGATCACGGTTCTAAGCCAGCTTGGTCAGGAAAGTCCATGAGACTCTTCACAGAAAAAGCTAGAACTGGAGCTGTGGCTCAAGTAGTAGAGTGCTAGCCTTGAACAAAAAGAGCTCAGGGACTGTGCCCAGGTCCAGAATTCAAGCCCCCATACTGGCAGAAAACAATATATATATATATTTATATATATATATATATATAATTTTTAAGTAGTTATACAAAAGGGTTACCATTCAACATGTCAATTTATAAATACAATGTATTCTTTATCATTTCCCCACCCCTCCCAACCTAACTTCCCCATTCAATTTTCCTAGTTTCATTGGATTTACAGTGAATATGATGATTGTATTACGCCCCTTTCCTCTCTTCATTCAGCTGCCTCCTCCCTTTGACCCCCCCCCCCACTGTCACATTTCAGGTACCAGCTTCTTGGTATTCACTTTGTTGGACTGTGAGTTCATTTTTCTAAGGAGTTACATCATCTGAATTCTCCCCTGCACATACCATATTTTGGTTAAGACATTTGCGTACATTTGCATACAAGCCTGTATGTGTTTAGTCGTATACTTATAAACTAGACCTTGAAGGACAGACAGGTTTACACAGTGAGTAAGTGAGCACTGTGAACAGAACAGCTGCATGGGATGGCTTACCATTCTCTGCCCAGGGTACCCCCCTGGGCTGACTGCCCTCTTACCACCATCTACCTGAACAGTGCGCCACGCAGTAACCAGAGGGCATCAGTAGCCTGACTCCCCAGGTCCCAATCCTAGCTCCACCCTGGCAAATGACTTAATTTCTTTGTTCCCTGATCCCTGTACTTTGAATGGGGGGGGGATATGGATGTGTATGTTTTCTACTTTATAGAGCTGTTTTGAGGACTTCTTTCCCAGCATCATTTATAACTTCTACAGCACTTACCATGAGCCTAAAATCACTTGTATTTCTTTTACTTTTGTCTCTGCCCAAGCTCTGTAGGAGCAAGGATCTTCCCCTTCCCATCCACTTTCTCTTCTGTATGTCCAGCACTTTGGGCAGGGCCTGGCACAGCCAAGCCCTCACACATCTGCCCACCCCAGGCCTGCAGCTAGGACTATGCTGGTTGAATGCTGGAATCAATAGGCATACCAACCAACTTACCAACTTCTCTGTGCCCTTGGCGAGGCTTCACTTCCCTATGGCCCTGTGCCTCCACTGTGAAAGGGGATTGAGGAAGGCTGATGTCCTAATGACTCCCCACAACCACTGAGAACCACAGATAAAGAAGTCAGACCTAGAACTATATAGACAGACAGAGGTGCCTGGAGCTTGGGAGTTCTGGGACCTGCCCAAGCTGGTCATTCATCTTTGCTTATGGCTTCCTAGTGCCAGAACCTTAATCAGGCTAATCAGGCTAAGAATTGACCCAGCTCTCTAGGAGTCCCAAAATATGCTTGCAGAGAAAAATACACACCCAAAGATTGGCATGTAGGGTAATGACTAGGGAAATTGATCTTAGTACCTTAACTGTGTTTTTTCAAGTCCGGTGTGTTCTTTTGAGCAAAGACTTACATTACTTTTATCATAATTATTAATATACACACACACATACTAGAATTTCATTTTTTGTAAGGATTTTATTTATTCTGTAATTAGTAGAATTGCTATTTTGGTAAGAATGCTAGAAACAGTTTGGACTAGAAGTATTAAGGTATCTGAAAAAAGTAAACAGCTAAGTTATTCTCCATTCTGTGTATGTTGTGAGGGACAATGTGACACTACCCTCATATCTTCTGCACCATTGTGGGAGTTTCTTCCAGTACCTTTTTGTTTTCTAAGAAGGTATCTATTGGAAGTGGCACTGTGGCTCAAGTGGTAGAGCGCTCACCTTGAGCTGAAGAGTGCAGGGACAATGCCCAAGCCCAGAGTTCAAGCCCCACGACTGACACACACACACAAAAAAGAAGTTTTAATACTTTGAATGCAAGCAGTTAACGCACTTATAATTAGCAAGTTTTCAAAAGCCATTGGAGTAAGCTTTGTCTCCTCTGCTATGGCCTAGCCTCTGAGGATGGTATGACCCCAGGGGTGAAGTGACCAGCACTTGTTCTTTCTTCCAGGGAGCCAAAGGGCCATTTTCAAGCAGGCAATGAGACACTGGGAGAAGCACACCTGTGTGACCTTCATTGAGAGGACGGATGAAGAAAGCTTTATTGTGTTCAGCTACAGGACCTGTGGGTAAGTTCACATAAGTAAGGCCACCTAACCAGAGTCCCAGGCAACAGGTCAGAGGTCAAATGAGTCTTGAATTGTTTCTTTAACACGATGTATTTCCAGTGAGCTGGGTTCTACAGGAGTCCCGGGATTGCCATAAGCTCTTTGCCCTCTTTGAAATCACAGTCCCCATGGCAAAGCATGACTCCAAACAGATTTGTTCCTAGAGAGTCCTGTCACCAGAACAGCAGAGGACAGTGCTTTATACAGAGAGAGATTTAGATCAGTGACTCTACTGAGGTTCTGATGGCAGATGAGGTCATTTCTCCTTCTAGAACGATGCACAGAAGGCTGGGAATAATGGCTCAAGCCTGTGATTCTGGGCAGAGATGAGTGATTATGGTTCAAGGCCAGCTCAGGGCAAAAGAAGTTCAAGAGACTTTATCTCAGTAAATGGCTGGGTGTGGTGACAGGTGCGTGTTATCACAGCTACAGGAGGAGAACAATGGCTATGTGCAGTAGTGCACCCCTATTATCCCCAACAAAGTGGACAGGGAGCACAAGTAGGAAGATTGTAGCCCACACCTGCTTGGACATAAAGTGAGATCCTGCCTCGAAAATAACCAATGGAAAAGAGAGGTAGGCATGACGCAAGCAGCACAGTGCCTGTCTAGCAAGTGTGAAGACCTTATTTTAATACTCAATGTTGCTCCTCCCCAAAGAATACACACACACACACACACACACACACACACACACACACATACATGCACACAAAATTCTGCAAACAAACAAGTACTAACAATGCTAGGTTATAATTTTATTTACAGATGAATCTTTGTTTTGTTTATTTAAAAATTTATTGTTGTTGTGAAGGTATTGTACAGAGAGTTTACAATTACATACGTCAGGTAAAGAGTACATTTCTTTTTGGACAATGTCACCCCCTTCCCTTGCTCTCTCCTGGGTTTTGCATCCTGTTCCTACCCACAAGTTGTAAAGGTCATTTTCAACAGTATCCAGTGAGTACCATTGCTATATTTGTTCACCCTTTGTCCCTCCATTTCTGGGCCTCCCCTTTTATTCTCAAAGACATATAAATGAACAAACAGGACAAAAAGAAAAGAAAAGAGAAACAGCAAAAAAAGAGAAAGAAAACCTTGTTTCCATTTTTTTTACTTTGAGCTGCTTTTGCAGTGCTAGGGACAGAACCTAAGGCCTTGAAAATTCCAGACAAGCACTTGATCACCGCTATACAGCCAGCCCTATTTCTGTTTGAAAGGTCAGAAAAGAGCAGGACAGTTTATAATGAGAAAGCATACAGGCTATGGTGAGAATGTAACTGTCAGAAGTATTTATGCACCAAATAACATGGCATCAAAATCATAAAACAAACCTAGAAATTTCAAGGGGATATGGACAGAAACATTGGCAGGGAGATATTTGGTTCATTTCTGTCAATTCAAGAAGGGCGGCACCAAGCTGGCTAAAAAAATAAGCAGATACTTTTAGAGGGTTTGGACTATGATTACTATAGTTTAATTCTGTAGATCTATCAGATTGATAGCAGTTTTTAACTACCTACAAAAGCTTATAGACCTCGTCCCTCTATTAGGCATTAAGGACATCCCCAAAAGCTGGAAGTGAGGGTGTGGATCAAGGGGTAATGTGCTAACCTTGAGCAGAAAAACATTAAGAGAGAGCTCAAGTCCCTGAGCTCAAGTACAGACACCAAAAAAAGGGCATCTGGTGCTTCAACATGTATTTTCTGTTATTAAAAAAAGGTCACCAAGGTAGCACAGGAATAGATGAGAATTATTTTTAGAATAAGTGTATTTTCATATATATATATATATATATATAATATATATATATATTCAAACCAAAAGTCAATATCATCTTTGTTGATGCTAATTCTAGAAGCATTTCTGTTAGAATCAGAAGTTAAAGATGTTTGTGGTTACCACAGTTATTTAATATTGTTTTGGAAACACTACTATAATTAGACAGAAGAATGAAATAAACACATGAATATTGGCAGGAGTAAGATAAAGTTTTCATTATTGAAAATTAATGTGACTATGTGCCCAGGAAACCTAGAAAATCAATTGAAAAATAATTAGAAACCCAGAGACTCTACTAAGATACCTGATCACAAAATAGATAAGCTGTTCTTTATTCATGAAATAGGTCACTTTTTCTTCTGGTGCTGGTAATGGGACTGGAACTTAGGACCTCATGCTCTCGCTTGACTTTTTTTGCTCGAAGCTGGCACTCTACCAGTTGAGCAACATCTCTGCTTCTGGCTTGTTTGCTGGTTAATTGGAGATAAGAACCTCATAGGCTTTTCTGCCTAGGTTGGTTTTTAACTGTGATCCTCAGATCTCAATCTCTTGAGTAGGATTATAAGTGTGAGCCACCAGTGCCTGGCAGGTTGATATATATATTTTTTTTATGATGGGGAAAATACAACTTTTTCAAAAGTTGTGTATTTCAAAGCAAATATCTTTTTATACATTTATGGCATTTCTAAAGACAGAAATTCCACCTGTCTCTTGTCCTTAGAGATGTCCTAGCCCTTCACCCCAGCACTCGAGGTGTGGTCTTATTCTAGGGAGGGAAGCTATTTCTTTCTTCATTTCCTTTCTTCCTTCCTTCCTTCCTTCCTTCCTTCCTTCCTTCCTTCCTTCCCTCCTTCTTTCCCTCCCTGCCTCTCTCTCTCCTTCCCTCCCTTTCCTCCTTTCTCTCCCTCTCTCCCTCCCTCCCTTCTTCCCTCCCTATTCTCTTCCTCCTTCTCCTCCTCCTCCTTTTGTAATGGTACTGGGGCATGAACTCACAGCCTCACACTCTCATTTGGCTTTTATTCTCAAGGCTGGTGCTCTACCACCAGAGTTGTCCTCCAATTCCAGCTTTTTACTGATAGTTGGAACTGAGAGTCTCTTGGATTTCTCTACTTGAGCTGGCTTAGATCTCAACCTCCTGAGGAGTTAGGATTATAGGTGTGAGCCATCAGTGTCCAGCCATTTCTTTCTTCTGATTCTCAAGAGCATCTGTGACCACCAGAGAGACTGCAGTGCATTTTTGGAGGGAATTTCTGCAGTGGGTGGAATGTTGCACACTGAGATCTCGTCTACTGCTGATGAGCTGTATTTCTTTGACACACTACGCAGAGGGCAGCGTGAGTGGAAAGGTTTGCCTCTTGCACTGGATATCCCCTGCCCTGCTGACCTGAGTGTTCTATATTTTCCAGCTGTTGCTCTTATGTTGGGCGCCGAGGAGGGGGTCCACAGGCCATATCCATTGGGAAAAACTGTGACAAGTTTGGCATTGTGGCTCATGAGCTGGGCCATGTGGTTGGGTTCTGGCATGAACATACCCGGCCCGACAGAGACCAACATGTTACCATCATGAGGGAAAACATCCAGCCAGGTAAGGAGGACTGTATGGAGTCTGAAGGCAACAGCCACAGGGACATGAAGGAGTGAAAGAGAGGGCCTGCTGGGAACTGACCAAAGCTGCTAGTTAAATGTTGGAGACAGCAACTTGACTTTGCAGGTGTGTGTCCCACTATGGCCACTGTCTACCTGTGGCCTTCCTGGGAAGACATCTTCCCAGCTAAAGCTTGTAGGTTAGAGCAGAGGCAAAATAATGATTTTCTGAGTTGGAAAGGACAAGGAAACCCAGTCCCATTTCCAGAATGGAACAGAATTGTCCAGAATGCAGTAGCAGCACTAGAACTGATCAGCGCTTCCCAAAAGAGGAAATCTCCTGGCATCTCTCACGAGGCGTTTTTGATGACTCTGGCAACACATCTTTTTGAAACTGCAGTGTGGTTATGAATCCCTATAAATTCAGCCTTTCTGCCTCGTAGTATTCTTCCCCAAGGCGGATAGCATGTCTAAATGTAAAATAAAATCTTATATTAGATCGCTTGGTATAAAACTAGATATTCAACATGAAAAGAGCTACTCGAGTTATATGATTGCTTTTGGAGAATCTAAACTGGGAAATATTTGCCACTGAATTTAGCTCTAATCATTTTCTTTTCTTTCTCTAAATTGCAAAGTCAGATTTTACCTTTTTAGTACTGGGGACTGATCTCAGGGCCCCTTGAGCCCCCCCCCCCGTCCTGGTTTTTGACAAAATGTTTTATTTGTAGACAAGCAGAGTGCCGACCAGAGTGCCAACAGAGATGAAGAATTTTGAGGGGCATTTGAGGAAAAGGTGCTGGGTAGTAGGACTGAGAGAACACAAGACTTACCTATGTTTTGAATTTCTGATCTATTGAAAAACAAAACGAAACAAAATACCACAAGACCCTCAGACCCTGGTGTCTGAGCAGTTTGGCTATAGGAGCTGTAGGAAGTTCTTTTGGGCCCTCCTCCCTCCTCTGCCTCTTTATAGGTGCTGCCTTGGGTTTTCAAAGGCCTTAACAGAGTGTTGTGTCACAGGTCAGGAGTATAATTTCTTAAAAATGGAAGCCGGGGAAGTGAGCTCTCTGGGTGAGACGTACGACTTCGACAGCATCATGCACTACGCCCGGAATACCTTCTCAAGGTCGGAACCTTCACTTGGGCCATCTGTGTTTTATTGTGCCTGTGTAGTCTTGGGTTGGATTCCTGAGGTCTGCCGAGAGCTAGCCGATCTCTGCATGCTCCTAGTACGGCTGGCCTGTCTGTCCTTGAAATACAGTGGCCTCTGGGCTGCAGTGAAATATAATCTAATCAGGCTCCTGCTAATAAGATGGAATCCCAATGTGAAGCTGGCACTCGATCATATCCTAATGTCACAAGCAGCAAACTGGAAAGGGGAGACTGTGGAGAGGTCGGCTGGGACAATAGCCCTGGGGCTTGTATAAAATTTCTAGTGAGTGCGGGCATCTTCAAAGCACATCCTTGTATAACAGGGAGGCCTCCCATTCTCCTAGATGGGGGTTGGTTTATTAGACGCCTTGTCAGAGACGGAGAGATATAAATTACTGACTCATTCCAAAAGGAAAGGAAAAAGCTTAAGGGAGCCCAGGTAGCTGGGATCAGAGTGAGAAAGAGGTCCTGGATCGTATGCCTGCAGGTCACAGGTAATAATAGTTCCTATCCAAATAGTCAGAACCAGCTATTTAAGGCTGGTGCCAACAGGATCTGTTCTCGAGAGCTGGAGGGATGTGCTGTGCTGTACAGATATTTAGTGTTCACTGTTTTGCCCCTGCTTCTAGGTCACATGCATGTTCTGTGTGTAGAAATGTTTCCCAACTAGTTCCCATTTTTTTAGGTTTTCTCACCCTTACTTAAAGGAGGCACACAGTGCAAATGTTTTTCCTTGCTTGGCTTTCTTTCCAGTCTCCTCTTAAAACTAGCTGTTTGTGTCAGGTACTGGCAACTCACATCAGTAAACTTAGCTACTCAGGATGCTGAGATCTGAAGATCCCAGTTCAAACTGCCCAGAATGGGCAGTTAAATCCATAATATTCTTTATTTCCAGTACCCAGCAAAAAGCTGAAAATGGAGGTATGGCTCACATAGTAGAACACCATCATGAGTGAAAAAGCCAAGGGAGTGCACAAGGCCCTCAGTTCAAGCCCCAGGGAGTGCACAAGGCCCTCAGTTCAAGCCCCAGTATCAGAGCAACAACAAAAACCAAACCCAAACCAAAAAACTAGCTGTTTGTGTATTTCCTCATTTCCCTAAGGAGGTATAAGGTGATTCCCAGAACCTACCCAGTACAGCAAGGGAAAAAACAAAAACAGGTGAAAATACTAGGGAGAAAGAGAGCGAAAGTAATAGCAGAAAGCTTTGTGTAAGTCTGTGATAAATTCATATGTGCTTTCTTGAGGATGGCAGCAAATCCTGCCCTGTGCTTCCTACAATCCCAGCAAAGAAAAATACCCCGTTGCTTGAGTCTCCATGTGCATAATGATTAAAGTGAACTACTGGCTCAGACATCAGCTCCCTGAACCCAAAGGGACACTCGTCTCCAAAGGTCCTTTGTTCTTGAGTAGAGAGTAACCATCAGCATCCTACTGATGGGGTGGCAGGATTGTTAGATCTCAGCATCCAGTTCTCTCAGGATGCTGTTCCTCTAGCCACAAGCTGGTTCAGTGCTGACATTAGTTCCTGCCAAGTGGCGATTCCCATGACTCTTAACAGATGAGTTTTGTCCAAGTTGGTATTATCAGCCACACACACTCTGGATTCTTTACTTTTCTCCTAGATCTTTCTGAAGTGCATCAAGGGGCATCTTGGTGAAACATGGAAATCACTGATGCCAGAGTAGGATGGCTGGGCTGCAGCCCCAGTTCTCCATAAGCAGTTAGCTACGTAATTGGCTACAGTGTCTCTCCTCACATTCATGAGCCTCAGTCTCCTCATTTAAAGGCTGAACCAGGTGTTCTCTGAGCATCTTTCAGTTCTAGCCTTCCTGTTGCAGTGGGAGAGAGGATGACAGATATGGTCTTATTCATTGCTGTACAGGAACCCAGAAGCTGGCAGGGCACCCTCTTCCAGACTCTGGGACTTTGTAGGGGAAGACCCAGAAAAAGCAATGGAGTGGGAAGGATGAGAGATCACCCCACAAATGTCAGAAATAAATGTGTGAGTGTTGGGACTTGGCTGACCTCCCCCACCCTTACCCCAGTTTAAGATATGCCATGAGGAATCGCCAAATATTACTTCTTCTCCCAGTAGCTTCAAGATGGTACATAGAAGCAAAGTATTAATTTTGTTAGAGAATGAATGTCAAGTTGGCCCAGTTGAGTAGCTTAGGTCTTATTCTGTAGCTGTCATCACTCTTCAAATTGCTTTATAATTTATTTCTTCATTATTGTTAATTTGTTAAGTGTGTGTGTGTGTGTGTGTGTGTGTGTGTGGTGTGCATGCACGCACAGGTCCTGGGGCTTGGACTCAGGACCTAGGTGCTGTACTTGAGTTTTTTTGCTTCCACTTGAACCACAGCTCCACTTCTGGCTTTTTGGTAGTTAATTGGAGATAAGTCTTATGGACTTTCCTGCCTAGTCTGGCTTTGGGCTAGGATCCTCAGATCCCAACCTCCTGAAGATAGGATTACAGATGTGAACCACCAGTGCCCCAACTAACCTATTAATTTTTATCTCCTGCATTGTTCTCTCCTTCTCTAGACTGAGAACCCTGGGCACAGAGACTATCTCATTCTCTTCTATTCCTCAGCACCCACTAGGGTGCCTGGCACATAGTAGGTATTCAATAGATATTTATTAAGTTTGTACATTAATGAGTGAGTTCAGAGGGTCCTAGGAGAGCTGTGGTACTGATGAGAGAAGGAATCTTTATTGTTCTCATTGCTAGTCTTTCTGTTCACCCACAAATGTGGTAGTCACTTCACTAGGGCCCCTCTTTTTTTCCCCAAATTCTTTATTGTGATTAAGTGATTACATAATTTCCCAAATTTCACAGTATTGTGGGATAGTGATGTTTAGCTAAAGTCACAAACACCTTCTAACTTTCATGGGACAAATTGTCTATCATGGTCTATAACATTTATGAGTTCTATGAGCTTTGCGATACAGTTATTTCTTCCACATTGGGTGGTATGCACATATCTTTTGTTTTGCGTGGCATCAGCTGTTCCCTCTTTCCCACTTGTTCCCTCCCTCCCATCGCTGCCATTGAGTTGCTTAGTTCATTTTGATCAATGTCCAGTGCAGTTGATGGGTCCCGCTGTTGTATGTTTTTCCCTGATTCCCTCTAGTTCTGTGTCGTCCTCCTGGTTTCCCTCCAGTGTGCACATCTATACCATATATGTGATCGGCAGCATGGGGTTATTTAGTAGTGATTCAACCAGATGAGTGGAAGTCCTTTGTTTCTTAAGCCTTGTTAACTTTGTCGTATCACCTTACATTTTAGATTTAACATCCACTTTTCAGGGAGACCATGTGCCGTTTGTCTCTTTGCTCTTGGCTTACCTCGCTCAAGATGATTTCTTCTACTTACACCCATTTCTCTGCGAATGCCATTATTTTGTCCTTTCTAATGGCTGCATAATATTCCATTGCGTATAGATACCACAATTTTTGGATCCAATTATCTGTTGTGGGACATCTGGGTTGTTTCCATATCCTGGCTATTGTGAAGAGTGCTGCAATAAACATGGAGGTGCACATGTCCTTGTATACTGGTTCCTGTTGTTCAGGATAGATACCTAGATGTGGTATGGCTGAGTCATAGGGGAGGTCAATATTTAGCTTTCTGAGAACCCTGCAGACTGCTTTCCAAAGTGGTTGTATGAGTGTACATTCCCACCAGCAGTGTAATAGGGTTCCTCTTTCTCTGCATCGCTGGGGCCCCTCTTTACGTCTGTCGTACATAGAGACTGGAAGAAGGGCACAGCCTTGTTTATGTCTGCTATATGCCAACTCTGGCCTAGAACTCAGAGCCAGAAGCCAGCATTTTCCTTTCTTGTCTTCCTTTAAATATCTATTTTGTTCCAAGATCTCTGTTTTATAATCTTATCCCCTTTGCCCCCAGATAATAACCATTTCTAAGGCTGTTGTCAGAGTAAATGATTTTATCAGCACTGAGCAGATGAACTCCTTAGGCCAAACCCATGAAATAATCATTCCTCCTCCCAAGAACCTAGAATCTCCAGGAAGAGGTTGGCCAGGGCTCAGCACCTGGGTGTGATGGGCAGCTAGAAGCAGAGCACTTCCCCCTGAGGTAGATTTCTCTTGCTACTGCTTCCTGCCAAACCTGGTGCCTTCATTCAAACAGCAGATTCTTCTTTTTCTAATACTTTGAGCTAGAAAGCTATTTCGGTCTATGGATCCTTACTGGTGAACTTTCCTGACATTTTGTCAAAAGTCTTTCTGTTCCTTGACTCCAGGTTATTACTCTGGTCACATATCTTCTGGGCTGGGCCATCCGTGTCTTTGCTTCTCTAAAAGCACAACCAATAAAAGCCTGTAGAACATAGGGTCATCTGTGGACAAAGCTTTTCCTGCTGCTGGGGATCCGTCTCCATGTCCCTTTACAATGGAGCTGTCTCCTTCCAACTCTGTTCCCTCTGGTTTATTGCAGTTCCTCCCTCCTTCCCTTTGTCAGACCCAGGCTGAGGAAGAGTTGCATCTTTGGAGGTTTTGTCGGGCACAGATCCAGGCAATGAGGAGACAGTTCCCTAGTACAGGAGTGTCTTTGTTTGGAGAACTCAGAGCTGACTGTTTTATTGCCTCAAGCATCTAACAGCTCACTTTCAGCTTAGCAGTAGAATGTCAATGTCAGGAGCTGTCCATTCTAGAATCAATGTACCTAGGGATGGCTCTTGTAGACAGTTCAGAGCCCAGCTCCTTGCTAGCAGCTCAGGAATGAGCTGGGATGTCCCAGCTCCAAAGAGTTGAGTGTGAGCCAATGGTACATCTGCTGCTTTGGCTGCAATGCCTTCGGTGTTCTTAGTGATGTCATTTAATGCACATCAAGGCACATCCTTGAGCAGTGGGAAACTGGTTGGAAGGAGCAAGATGCCCAAAGGTAGGCTTCAGACCTGTCTGGGTTCAAGGGCTGGCACTCTGTTACTGCTCTGTCTTCTAAGCCAGTCACTTCAGACCTATGGACTCTGTTTTCTCACTTACAAAAAGGACACTTGCAGCATCTATGATGGACTTGCCTCCCAGCGTGTTATATTACACATAAAGTGCCCAACTGTGGGCCTGGCACACAGGAAATTCCTGAGAATGGTATAGGGAACATGGTCTTCTCACCCCAGGCCTGCTGTTAGCTTGGGCTGCTTAGAAAATGTGGTGATTCATAGGTGTGTAGTATAAAATTCCTTTTCAGGGTAACAATTACAAGCATAGCACAACTGGGTGCCAGTGACTCATGTCTATAATCCTAGGTACTCAGGAGGCTGAGATCTGATCATTGTGTTTTGAAGCCAGCCCAGGTAGGAAAACCCATGGGACAAAAAGTAAAAGCTGGAAGTGGAGCTGTAGCTCAAGTGGTAGAATGCTCTCTGAGTTCAAGCCCCAGTGTACACACACACACACACACACACACACACACACACACACACACACACACAC